ATCTCACCTAGCGGTTTCATATAGATGTTGAAAAAGAGTGGAGACAGAACCAAACCCTGCGGCACCCCACAAAGGAGGGGCCGAGGATGGGACCTCTCGCTCCCTATCACCACCGATTGGGATCGGCCCCGGAGAAAGGAGGTGAACCAGCACAAAACTCTGCCGCCCACCCCCATATCCCTGAGCCGACCCAATAGGATACTGTGGTCGACGGTATCAAACGCCACTGAGAGATCAGGGAGAGCAAGGATGGTCACACTTCCACCATCCCGCTCCCGCCAGAGATCATCCATAAGTGCAACCAATGCCGTTCCGTTCCATAGCAGGGCCTGAAACCTGACTGATAAGGGTCCAGATAATCCATTTTCTCCAGGACCCTTTGGAACTGCGAAGCCACCACTTTCTCAACCAACTTCCCCAAGAAGGGGAGGTGGGAGACTGGATGAAAGTTATCCAGTACGGTAGGATCCAGGGAGGGCTTCTTGAGGAGGGGGTGTACCAACGCCTCTTTAAAGGGCGCTAGAAACACTCCCTCCTGCAAGGATGTATTAACCTTCGCCTGGATCCAACCACATGTCACCGCCCGAGCTGATTTCACCAGCCAGGAGGGGCATGGGTCCAGATGACAAGTGGTGGCCCTCACAGTCCGGAGGATCCTGTCCACTTCCTCAGGAACAACGGGATCAAACCATTCCCAGATAACTAGGCAAGAGTGATCCCCCGGTATCTCCCCAGACCCTGCACCATGCTCGGAGTCCAACTTGGAATTAATCTGAGCGATTTTATCCTGCAGGTGCTCTGCAAATTCCTCCATGCGGCCCTGCAAATGAACCGAATTATACAATTCAATTCATACAATTTATCCATAAATAAATTTAAAAACTAAGGGAGTGTGTGTGTGTGTGTATTCCCTTAGTTTTTAAATTTATTTATAGATAAATTGCATGAATGTATATCTCTCTTACTACCTGCTCATTGTTGAACCACTCACTAAGCATTCCATTTAATATCATGCTTCTCATGCATGCTTTATGTCCTTCACATACTACTCTAATCACATTTAAAACCAATCTACAGCCTCATAATCAGGCAAAAGTTCCACAATCCAAGTCTATCCTCTTTATCATACCCTTTCTCCTAATCAACAAACATACAATAAATTTTGTTTCTCACATTACTATATTTCTCAATGAACCTCTAAAATAAAAAAATCTGGTCTGGAGAATTCTGCTAAACAACTTTCCAGACACCATTAACACTTGAATCCCCCTCTAGTTTTGTATTCACATTATCTTTCCCTTTGTATATGGAAACAATTACAATTTCTTTTAATATGTTTTATGATTTGATATATTTAAATGTATATGTTGCGACTTGAGCAGCTTAGTGTCAAAATGATTGAAGAGGCATACAGGCATTCATAATAAAGTAAATAGATGGTATCAATTATCAGGCACAGAAGCAGTCTTTGCACATACTTCAAACAAGATATAGCCACTCTACAAGCAAATCACATCCACATTTTAACATTTCTCCAATTAAAATCAACAACGCTGCAGTTTTATCATTTTCAAGTTTCTCACAACATGTATGACTTCTTTTTATCAACTTTTCCTTGGCATCTAACACTTACAGCATTAATTTCAATTCTACCCTTTATCATTTCATTATAATTCCCATAAAAATCTTAAAAGTATCCTTATCAGCATACCTTCATTCCAGTTTCAACCCAATCATTTCATCATTTTCATTTTAATTCAATTTATTTTGTTGAATGCTCTTTATATCGCTCTTTTCATCCACTTTCATTTTTTTTGTTTCCATTAAAATTGCTGTGCATTTTCTCTGCCTCCTTTCATCTTAAGCATTCCTTGCAACTATATTTTTCTTTGTATATATATATTTTATAGTCAACAGCATTTTCCTCATCCAAAACCTCTTTCATTTTATCATTCCACCATTCATAATTGTCAATAGCATAATTACATGAACTTTGGCAGCACTCCGTAATATACAGTATTTCCACACCTTCCTTATATCCACCTACCGTTCATTTTATTGGGAGATTAATCTCTCTTCTAATACTTGTTCATACAGGTCTCATATCTTCCCTTCCTTCATTTCTTCTTTTTCTCTCATTTCTTTCTGTTTCTTTCAAGTCTATTTTTCCTAAAGACCCATTCTTGATACTACCTAATTATAGTCTTTATCTTTCACTAATTCACTCAATCTTTTTATAATAAATAATTAGATCAATCATGCTTTTATATTTATGTTCATACCATATATTTATTTATATAAATTTATTTACTATATATGGTTTAAGCATGTATTGAAATATATAAATATATATATTTCAATACATACTTAAACCACATACAGTACTGAAAACACAGAGACAGCTACTCACCAAACACTATTCCCATTCATTCTTGGGTCTATAAACGTCCCTGTCACTTTGTCTGTACTCTCTCGTATCATTTCCACCAATCCATCCATGTCACCTAGCTGAAAGTTTTCCTCTAGATCACATTCATTCATAATTTTGCACAACTTTTTCCCAAAATAATCTTTCATTATCACCATTCACTGGAATGTAACATGCAACTATCACTAATCTATGGATTCCTATTTTCATATGCAACTGTAACAACGTAGATGAAACTAATTCATTATTTCTGATATACGCTTTAGCTCTTTATTCATAACTGAATATATACCACCTCCCTGCTTGGATTCATCAACACCACAAGTTTTGGCCACCTTCATTCAATCCTCTTAGTTTCACAGATATATCTGTGCAACATATATGGGGTTTCCTCCCTTTCATTTATTAACTCATGATCAATATGTTCCAAAGCACCAACTCAGCATGTCATGGCCCTTCTCAGATTGACCTTACTGCTAACTGTAAGGACTATATCAGCCTGCCTGTTTCACATTCTTACCACTTGATTGTCACAAGTGCAACTAAAACCTAGTTTCACCCTAAGCATGCCAAAGCTATTCTATGCAAAGTAGGATCTCTAAATTAGGAAATTCTGTGTAAGCCAACATGCTGTTACTTGCATCTCACCAACTAGAAAATACTTGCAGCTTACTGACACTCACTCAAGATTCATTTTAGAAAAGCATAACTCTATTTATGAAAGTTTTTAAAGCTTTCTAATTCAGTACTAAGGGTCCTGTTGAAGTGAAGTGAAACATGCATCAAATTCAAATGTTTAATTAGATACACAAATTAAGAAATCTTTTTCAGTTCTTGGCTGGAGATATACAATGCAGCTAGCCACACATTTCTTCCATTCATAATAAAAATAATAATTACAATCACTTTGATCCATTTTTCTCCAGTTTGGTAGTAGATGGTCCACACAGACAGCCACCTTTATTTCTCAGCTACTTTGAGCAACAGATATAATACATATCTTTTTAATTGAAGTCATATGCTGCTCTGTTTAACCATGACTACATTATAGCCCAACAAGGGGAAATATGCTGCTACAAGCCCTATAAACAAAACCACCCTGAAAGTTCATCAGCAGGACACAGGACTAATTAAACAGTCAACAAAAATCCTACTAAGCATACATAGTATATTAGCTTGTACTCTGAAAAAAAAAATGAACAGGACAGAGAAATATATTTATGAAAGCTCAACAAATAACTGTAAAGCAACATATAGCCTTTATATTTTTAAATACACTCTGAAAGCTCCAGATTATACTCATAATGTTTTATTTACAAAGTCTAGCAGTACTTGGGGGAGAACTACAGGGTGCAAATATACATATTTGTATTTACCAGCTTTCACTGGTTTCTACATGCCATTTATCTGTATCCCATTTATATCTCACCACCATCCATTTCACCTGTCCTAAGTATGAGGAGTACTTTCAGCGGATACACTGTTACCTGGAATTTTAGGCTTCATTATTAGGTTTTTAATAAAGGTGGTATTAGCATTTTTAACATGGCAGTCTAGGCTTCTTTTCTAACTTTAGGAAAGCATGTTTTTCTTCTGGGTCAAGGCCATTTCTTCTGGTATAGAACTTGCCTTTTCAGCAACTAAACAACAGAGAGCTTATTCTGAAAGTCCTTGAATACACTTGCAAGTTTTAAAGATACAAATCCAGCTTGGAAAGGTAGCAATGACCCATAAATTTGCCACTTGTGGAGTTTTATCTGGAATCAGTGTTTTCTATTGTTCATTTCTCACGTGTAATCAATGTCTTTTATTGTTTGATGACTTGCTTTCTGCATATCACATATACCAAATGTATGTATCATTTGTTTCTGTACCTTATAAAAAGTCTTGACCCCCTCCCCCCGGTTAATAAAAGCTTTTCGCTTTGCCTGAATTTCTGGGTGGTTCGTATTTTCGGGTAGGCTAAGAAGCCACCTTTGCAAAGGAAAAATTGTTTTCTCTCCCAAATTCAGAGAGTTGGTCTTCAGCTCCACGCCGCTCGGGGTGCCAGAGTTTTAAAGGCAACAGTTCACGTGGCTCCATTAGTGCTAGCCTTGGAGCGAGCTGACTTTTCCTCTCACCCTCTTTGCTTTTATGATTCTCGGTTAGATATTTATACTATTCCTTTAAATTTGTTTAATTATAATGAGGCACTTTTTTGATATTTGATTATGTAAGAGAGGTCATACGAAGGCTGGGCTTTTCCCCTTTTTTACATTAGGTCTGTTTATTTCCTTTTTCTTCCGGCCTTGACGGGGGACGGGGGGGATCATCGCTTTGACCCCCGTATTTCTTCGCTAGAGTTGAGGGTTTAAATATAAACAAGCCAATAAATGCCTATTGACGAGTCTGGGTTTTTGTTTTTTGACTCTTCAAATAAACCCCGCGAAATTCTCCTCGGTGAGGCTGGAGAACAGATACTTATTAACAAACATCTCTTTATTTCCACGAGTAACGGCCTTTTGCTGCCCTGAAAACTACAATTCCCAGATTGCTTCAGGGCTGCTGCTTCTCCTCTCGGAGGTCGTCCTTCCTCCCATAATGCCTCTGAGTCACGTGGCTCTAGATTAACTGAAGGTCGTGCGGGGAAAAGCACTTTCTTGTTGCTGGGTTCGTGTTCTGGGCAATATGCTGACCAGCACCGTCCGTCGGTTCGCCACCTCCGCCCTTCGCCGGGTGCATTATGAAGATGGGCCGGGAACGGTAAGGTAGAGGCGGGGAGAGAAGGAAACTAGGGCCTCCGTTTCTTCCACCCCTCGAGCCAAGGGCAGTTTCCTGGGCAAGTCGGGCTAGGCCTGCTTTTTCCCGCCTTTGTTGCTTGGTCCTTGGCTATGCCATGGGAGGAATTGGAAAGAAGCTCCTTCGCTTTTCTGGGCCGTTAGCCTTTCGCAGTCAGTGTGGGGAAAATAATCAGGTTTGGGGATGGAAGTCTCATTTTGCAGCCTCTTCCCCCTTCTCTTTTACGGCGCGGTGTTGCGTTGGAAGGCCGGGGCTCAAAGCGGAAACGCTTCAAGTCTTAATCACAGAAAGGTGGCTTTCAGAGGTAGAGGATAATGACCCACAATTTATTTTACGGATTTAATAGTTATAATATCTCTGTTCACATTTTGGGTCTGCGTGGGATAAAATATGTGGGCTTAGCCACAATAAGTTTAGAAATACAATTCTTCCTTGGCTGCAGCTGGAAAGGCACATGCCCAAAGGCCCTGGTGCTCAATGTGCAGGGTGGTGTTTTTGAACTCTAATATGCAGTTCCCTGTCTCTGTAGTGGCAGGAGCAATGCCTTTGGTGCAATCTGTGACTATTTTCTTAATTAATTCTAGTGGTACAGATGATGATAGCATAACAGCATGAATAACAATGATACTGTAAACGCTTTCTGATGTACCTATTCTGCTTTGTGGAATCTACCCTTGAGGATTCCTTATTCCTTGGAAAGAAATACAATATTGTGAAGTTATGTTGAGGTACCATTTAATTTCAAGTCATACTCTTACTCATTATGCATCTAAAGGGCATACATGGTGTTCTTTTAATGTCAAATTAAAATGGATTACAGTAGTAGAAATCAGGTTCAAATTAAAGGATGTTGATATTAAACTATGAAGCCTATGTGCACCATGAAAGATACTCTTTTTAGAAAATTAGGAATACATTGAGTCCAGTTCCATAACTGTAAGTAATGAATGAGCATTTAGTATTTGGTTGCTATCCATAGGATTTGGGCCAACTCACTTTACACATTAACTTTGTTTAATAACTAGATACCTTGGCTAAAATAGAACTTCAACATTCTTACCTTTTCAGAATCTCCCGTTCTCTGTTAACAACAAATGGAAATTGCTGTTCGGAACTTTTATCTTTACTATAACTGGTATTGGTGGTCCCTGTTTTATTGTAAGGCATCAGCTGCTTAAGCAGTGAATATGTTATAACAGGTAATTCCTATTTGTCATTTTCTTCTAATTATTTAAAAGTAACCTCTTATAAGGTATTTTGGGTATCTGTTGGAATCTGTAAAAAAACATTTTATTTCTGATTTTATTTTAGTAAAGGTCAATAGGTAAGTCAGTAAACCGGTGAATTTCTTAATAGGTAAAACTTGGAAGTAATGCATATAAAGAAAGGTAACAGTTCTTCCCAGTGAATCTCAGCTTTTGGTTCCTGCATCTATGTAATATAATGGAAGTGGTTTGCCATTGCTTTTTTCTGGGATCAGCCAAGGTCAACTGTGTGCTGCTGCCTGCTGACAGTACACATAGACCTGGATTCAAATTAATATATTTTATTCCAGAGTAGAAACCATAAATTTCCTCTAATACTATACTGTCCTTTTCCCCAATAGCAGTTTAAATCATGATTAAATAACATTTAGAAGACAATTTAAATGAAGTGCCTCTTTGCAACGCAAGGAACATATTTATACAATTGCATTTAATATGACAGATCCGTTCCTAATCCCGTCAGATACAGTAAGTTATCCAAGTCTCACGTACATCACAACTAGGTTATAGAAATGCTTTATAGATAGGGCTACTATAAAAAGTGTTTGGAATTTCAGTTGGTCAAATGGCCACAGCCAGAACAAGGCAGTAGAAGAACGTTATGCCTGTTTGAAAGAGCTGTACTGGTTACCAATAGTTTTTCAGAGATGGTCTTATGGCATTTAAACTTTTAAAATGCTAAATGACTTTGGCCTGAGGTCTCAGTCATTATGCCAGGATACTTAAAATTTCATAACAGGCCCTTTTAAAGCTAGCTCTGCTTATAGAGGCTGTCTGTTGGGAATGTGGAAGAAAACCTTTCCTTCAGTTACTCTGGAACTATAAAACACATCCTCTTGGGAACCATACCCAGTGTAGATTTTTAGGAAGGGTTTCAGTACACTCCTCTTTAGCCTTGCTTGCTGAATGATTTTAAAATTACGCTTATATATATTTATGTTTGCCTTTTTGCTCAGCTAGCTGGCAACTTCTGATTAATCTTGACTGCTCTTAAAAAGGTTCAGCAGGGTTAAATCTGATTAATAGTTGGATGTGAGAGATGGAAGAAAAACAAAGAATCTGCTACCCTGGACCAAATCTTCAACAGGAAGGAATTGGCTGAATAAGTGAAGGTGTCTGGCACTTTTGAGGGGAAGTGATCATGTAACCATTGAATTTGTGATATATGGGGGAAAAAGGAAATGAAAAGAGGTAGATTTCTGAATTTCAGAAGAGTGAATATTAAGAACTCTGAAGGAAGAAAGTAGGTCAGATCCAATGGTTTGAAATCCTGAAGGAGAAAATGTGCAGGGAACTTGGGAAATCATTCCAAAAAACCCACCCTGAAGGTATAGTCACGAACAGCCTCTACAAGAAAGAAAAATGTCAGAAAACCTAAAACTCAGTAAGAGATGTTCCAAAACCCTATTTTGCTTTTTAGAAACAAAAGCCACAAAGGTCTGTTGCAAGAAGAAAGTGGTGAATTGATCATGGGTGACGGTGAGAAGGCAGAACCTATTCCTGTTGTGCATCTGTCTTCTCATCGTCTCTTAGAAACGAAATAGAGTCCTAATTGATCATTGTAATTACCAAGAGAGAATGAAGGAACTACAGCTTAGGAGAAGGTAAGAGAGAACTTACCTAAGTAAATTCAAGTCTCCAGGATGAGTTACATTTTAGGATATTGATGGAAGTAGCAGAGGTGATTGCAGAGCCACTCTCAGGAATCTTTAAGAATTTGTGGAGATGTCCTGGGGATGTCCCAAAGACCTGAGAAAAGCAAACATCCTATTCTCAAAAAGGAGGTCCTTTTGTGTGTATTTAACTTGAATCATGTATTTAACTCCAATTTTGCTACAGTAGGCTCCATTCTTAACTATGGGGCATCTTAACCCAGGTATTCTTAACCCAGGGACTAATTTCTTCTATGGACTAAGTGACTGCCCATAGTCACTTAGTTGAGATGGGTGGCTATAGAAATTAAATAAATCAAATAAATTAAATACTTGTATTTCATAGTAAAATTTTAAAAATCCTTGAGGAACGCGGTGGTAAACCACTTATATATCTGTTACATGCATATGGGTTCTAATCACTCGAAGCTGAGTTCTACCTGAAGAAGAGGGGTACTTTATGCATTTTATTTGTTTCTATTTTAATATATATTGTTTAGCTGCCTTTAGTAGCTTTGTTAGAGCAGAAAGATAAATAATTTAGATGAGATGAATAATGGTTTAGTATTCGAACTTTTTTTTTTTTTTTTTGAGTACTATAAAGATTGCTTTTATTCTGTCTTTTAGTTCCACTGCTTTGGCAAATATAACTATCCAGGATTGCAGCATGAAAAATGCAAATAATGCCACAGGCATCATGAGATTTGTGTGAGCAGTTAACCACTAAGCATTAAAGATTGTAAAAGTATTAATCTATATATTTATATTAGACCAGCACAAATTGGAAGCTTTTGGGAAATAAGATGACTGTGCCAAATTTATTGTGATTCAGAAAGATTTCTTTAGCTATAGAGAAAAGCTTTCATAGGCTGTTCCCCAAGTATGTTTTAAAATATCCTGTCTAATATGAATCTCATCTACAAAATAAGATTCTGGTAACCTGACTGGAATGAATCATACAATACAACATATATTTTAAGGGGGTTTATATGTTTTCTGTCTTTTTTCTTTCAGATTGTGAAGAAAGTACAGAAGGAAAGATAAAGTTAAAACTAAGCATCCTCCTTATCCTTATAAATAAAAGTTATATCTGAAAGTAGGATGGCTTCTGTTTCTGTTTGGTACAGCTATAGGCTGGCAATTTATAAAGCAAAATCATCCATCCCTAGTCATAAAATGAAATGTATTTTAAATATTTTGTTACAGGTACATACAAACAGTAGTTAGCTAGCAATTGTTACTGCAAATGAAGACCAGTTAAACTGCCGGAGACCTGAGGTTTATCACTTTCATAGCAAAGATCTTGCCCACAAAATGTTTTGGTAACAGAAAGCAAATCAGCAAATTCAGGCAATAATTTGTAAAGCTGTAAAATAATGGCCATGGAATAATCATTAAGGGAGTTGGTTCTGAGAAAAAAGCCAGAAATGTCCAAACAAGTTTATAATTTTTTGCCAGGCGCTGTTAAGAGACCCCAAAATGCTACTTGTTCTGCTTGTATTACAAATAAACTCCTTGTAAGTTTCCAAATATATAACAATAGAACCTAATATTAAACAGAGGAGCAAAAAAAAAAAAAATCTTAACTGTCTAAACCAAAAAGAGATCTTTGGACAGGTTATGTAGTGAAACAGAAGAGATCAAAAGAAAAGCATAGGGGCAAGGAAAGTACAAATAGAAAAATGTTGAGAATTTGGGGGAAAGTGCTCACAAGTGTGCTAAGGGAGGAAAAATAGGTAAGATAACAAAAAGAAGAAAATTATTCTAATTATAGTATTCTTAAATTAACCACCTAGCCCCTAAAAGATACTGGGGGGGGGGGTCCCACAAAAAACTATTCTCACACTCAGATCAGAAAGTCCTTAATAAAGAAATGTTCTGGAATCATGGGCATTAGCCACAGGGATGAGCAAAACTCATTATTTCTCACATTGAACTTGTTCAACACAACTTGTAAAAGTATAATTGGCTTCTACCTATCTCATTCAAAGCACTGGCAAAAATCCTGTACAGTACAGTACAGCTTCCTCATTTTATCTATGTAGATTTGCAAACTCCAGCTGAAACCATTTGGAGATTTTCCATAGGCACACACATTGGCCAGTATATAATGTGATACATTTTTATATGTGTATCTATACTAACCAAAAGCAACATTCCAAAAAAACAGTAGGACAAGGATTTAAAAACAAACAAACAAACCCCTAATTATAATTGTAGAATATGCTAGATTTAGAAAAATTACCCCCCCCCAAAAAAAAATCCCATCTGTAGATACCAAGCAGCTTCTCACAGAAAAATGGTTCACACAACTCCCCAGAAAAACAACGGAAAAGGACAGAGATAGTATAAGGAAGGTAACTCCACTGGGAAGAGAAGACAGGTACCACCAAGCCAAGTTAGACTCTTTAAAGAGAGAGGCCAGTTTGGTCTTTCAGAATAACTCATAAATTTTCATAATGTTTTCATAAACATTCTAGTGATCTCACTGGGTCGGTCAATCCACCTTTTCCATTATGTTCCCCACTTTTCTTTCCTCTCTGTGAGGGAAAGGAACATAATTGAAAGCACCTTTGTGCTTGGAAGAGGCAGCATTGGAAAGGCCTAACTGGCGTCATTGATGCCAGGCAAAAACAGCCTCACTCCCTATCCCCACCAAAGGGACGTGAGAATCTTCCAGTCTGGCTCTTAGTAAATGTGATGGGGCAGCACTTGCACTCCCTCTGTCTGCTGAGAGATGACTTACCCCACAGGCTTCCACGCTTGCATCTCAGCCACCTTTGGCCACATCCAGCTACTTGATGGACATAACAGTGTCTACAGATGACTACTTTACCCACACTCTGCTTTTTTTTAGAATCTGCCGATACCCATACACAACCAGGTTAGTGCATCTTGCCTTATCTGTGTCCTCAGCCTAGAAAAGAGAAAAGCTAACCCAGGAGTGTGCAGAAGAGGAAGCAGGGAAGCTACCTCTCACCAAGCTCAGCAGCTACAGGCAAAAAACAAGACTGACATATAGCTGCCAGGACCATAAGCCATGTTAAATAGTTCATGTCGGTTGGATCCCTGCCTGGAGCTCAGCTTGGGGGCTCAGCTTGGCACTCAGCAATGATACTGCTTGGAGCGGGCCTGGAGCTTGGCAGCAACTTTGCTCTGGAACTTATAAACATAAAGACCAACCAAGCTGACCATAATCCCCAGCAAGCACAAGAACCTCTGGAGGAAGACAAGAATTCTATGCCACTTTAATGACTGAGCCCAGAAGATTTAGTTACGTGGCTAAGCCAACTCACAACGGCTAAGAGAGTGGAATTAGCCCTGCCCAGCCAGGGCAAAAGCTTTAGATTGGGGAACATGTGAGACATAATAAAATCCTGTGTAAAGTTTTCATTCACAGAACAGTGTGCCCG